GGTCCTGCTGGCCCCATGGTCCGGTTGGCCCCATGGTCCTGCTGGCCTCATGATCCTGCTGGCCCCATGGTCCTGTTGGCCCCATGGTCCTGTTGGCCCCATGATCCTGTTGGCCCCTTGATCCTGTTAGCAGCATTAGCGGGTCCCTTCAGCAGCTTGATGATAATAAGGACTGCAGCAGCTGTTTCTAAGACTGCCCTCCAGAACCGGGTCCAGCAGACATCCAATAGAACATCCAAGGTTCCCCCGTGGAACCAAGTGGGTCAGCCGAGTTTGGTCTGGTCAGGCAGATGGAGGATCTTGTTAGCAGCTTTAGCAGGTCTAGTTAGCAGGTCCTGTCAGCAGCCTGGTGGTAACAATGACCGCAGCAGCTGCCCTCCCAGACAGCTCTTCAGAACCGGGTCCGGCAGACGGAGAACATCCAGGTTTTCCCGCGGAACCGAACGGGTCCGTAGAGTTCGGTCCGTGCAGGCTCATGAGGACAGCTGCCATGACAGGCCTGAGTCTGAGTTGTCGACGGGGCGGGGAAGAAGGGGGAGACACCTCTGTTGCGTGTGAGCTTACTGCTGTGTTGGTGTGGAAGGTCTCGACCGGGGGTGGAGGTGGGGGTGGAGGTGGGGGTGGAGGTGGTAAGATGCGCGAGACAAACGTAGCATGTTAGCTAGTGCGTGTGTATTGTGCGTGACCATCCCTTGAAGGAGAAACGTCATGTTGGGGAGAAAGAAGCCAAGTAACACGAGTTGTCTGGACCGTAAAATGGATCAAATCAGTGACAGGACACCATGGGAGGAGGAGATGATGCTGTTCCAGGTGAAGCAATCAAAGTGATGAAGTGTAGAAGCTGTGGCAGGAAGGAACCTGTAAATTAGTTTAATAATTACCTGCAGTTGACAAAACTGACTAAATGCTTTTGTGTCTGTTTCTTGGCACAGTGCAGTTTAGTGACGTGACGGCTGCATGAGTCTTTCACTAAATCACAAAACTGTCAGACGCCCCCCCCAGTCACTGTTGGTGGTTATTAAAATGTTCAGTGGGTAAAGTTAATATTCTTGTTTTTAGACATGCAGTTGCTTAGCACAACAGCAAGTGGAACTAAATAAAAAGTAAATAAGATACGAGTGAAGTTCACCTCTAAAGTCACTGTTTGTGATGAACTGTCACATTAATTTCATTCTGTTAGTCATAGGAGTGAGTTTAAAAACAGGATGATGCACATATGGACTAGTTGAATGAGGCGTCTCTAAAATATCCTGATGCACGATCAATAATTTCATCAGTTTTTATTCTGTCCTCAGGACCTGACTTTATTTGTTGATGCCTCTAAAACAGTTATTGAATCAAATGTTTACATATGGAGGTAAACAGATGTTTAACAACCAGTAAAATACACCAGAATGCAGGAAATGGCATCTAGTTTATTCAGAATCGTCTGGGGGAGGACCCCCCCCCCCCCACCCCACATTACACATGCTTCTGAGGCCAGTGAGCATGAAAGAGGCACATGGCCAAGCAGTGGAAGCACAGGCCCTGTAAAAAGGCTTGTGAGGCACCTGAGGATGTAAATAGTAAAGTTTAGAGATTTGCTGTGTCCCAACATTTCTGGCTTCATGGTCACTCTGAGTTCTGTTGAACTCGTGTCTAAAACATCTGTGAGCTCCGCGTGTAAACCCACTTGTGCTTTTTCCCAGATGCTGGAAAGTCTACCATTGGAGGACAAATAATGTAAGTTTTAGATTTTTGTGATGTAGGTTTAAAAGTAAAACAATCGTGTGTTTAATGTGTGAACCGTTCTTCCACTCCATCAGGTATCTAACGGGCATGGTGGACAAAAGAACCTTGGAGAAGTACGAGAGAGAAGCAAAGGAGAAGAACAGAGAAACCTGGTGAGTGGACTCTGCTTCCTGACCGTCTTTTAACTTGTTTCTAAAGTCTGTACCACTTCACGATGAGGCTCCCCTCATACTGTGCCTTGTCAGAGTATTCACCCCCTTGTACTTTTCAACCTTTTGCCACATTTCAGGCTTCAAACATAAAGATATAAAGTTTAGATTTTTTTGAAGAATCAACAACAAGTGGGACACAATCATGAAGTGGAATGAATTTATTGGGTGTGTCAAACTTTTTTAGGGTTAGACTAAGCTGCATCAACTTCACGGCTAAACCGTGAAGTTGATGCAGAATCATATTCTGATACCTTCAGTGTCTGGGACAGACGACCTGTCTAACTTCATTTAGCAGCTGCAGAAACGTGCCATGCCGGCTCCTCACAGCCGCTCGGTCTCACTTTAACACCTTTAAGCCCCAAAGCTTCTGCTTTTCTTCAGGGATGCACTTTTTTAAAATTACGATCCCGATACCCAAGTCTGAGTATCGGCCGGTCCAGTTCCGATATCATGATCATCATTGATTTTATATGAGGCTGTAATAATCTGCTCTCAAGTACAGTTTGTACAAATATACCATACCATACCAATTTATTTATATAGCACTTAAAACAGCAACAAGGCCAACCAAAGTGCTGTACAAAAGAACACAAACATGCACAGCAGACAGGAAAACATAAAATAGAAATACAGATACAAATAGCAGCAGGAGCTAACTAAAATGGCCAACAGAGTAGAGAACAGACCGGACCAAAACAAATCACACCGTGTTAAAGGCAAGCGAATAGAAGTGGGTCTTCAAGCGAGACTTAAAGACTGAGAGTGTGGGAGCCTGCCAGACACTCAGTGGCAACTCATTCCACAGTCGTGGACCTGCAACAGAGAAAGCCCTGTCACCTCTGAGCTTACGACGGGATTCTGGGACTGAGAGAAGCATCTGGTCTGCTGACCTCAGAGAGCGCGGTGGGACATATGGCTGCAGAAGATCAGTGAGATAGGATGGGGCGGAACTGTTCAGTGATTTAAAAACATACATGAGAATTTTGAATTGGATCCGAAGGTGAATGGGTAGCCAGTGCAGGGAGGCCAAAACTGGCGTGATGTGCTCTCTATAACCTGTACCAGTTAAAAATCGGGCTGCAGCATTTTGGACCAGTTGTAGACGAGCAATGGAGGACTGACTGATTCCAAACAGAAGTGAATTGCAGTAATCAAGCCTAGATGTTATGAAGGCGTGGATCACTGTCTCGAGGTTCTTTTTGTTGAGTATAGGCTTCAGCTTAGACAGCCGTCTCAGCTGAAAAAAACAGGATTTGACCATCATGTTTACGTGACTGTTGAGTTTTAAGGACGGGTCCATTATCACCCCCAGATTAGTCACCTTTTGTTTCTCTAGCGGGGCTAGAGAGAATAGGTCAATGTCATAGTTCATGAGTGAGCCACTGGGATGGAACAGCATGACTTCAGACTTCTTCTCATTGAAGCTTAAGAAGTTTAAAGCCATCCAGTCCCAGATGTCAGCCAGGCAGTCAAGAAGAGGCTGAATAGAGCGTGTGCCTCTGTGCCTCAGGGGGAAGTAAATTTGGCTATCATCGGCATAGAAATGAAAGGGTATGTCGTGTTTGCGGAAGATAGCACCTAGTGGCAGCAGGTATAAAGAAATGAGAAGGGGACCGAGGATGGACCCCTGCGGTACCCCCCACTGGAGTGCGGTCGATGCCGAACTGAAATCTTTGATATTGACACAGAAGGTTCTGTCAGAGAGGTAGGACCCAAACCATTTAAGGGCTGACCCTGTGATGCCCACCCACTGCTCCAGTCTAGAAATGAGGATATTGTGGTCGATGGTGTCAAAAGCAGATGTAAGGTCCAATAGGACAAGCAGCACAGAATCACCTGCGTCTGTGGATATGAAAATGTCATTAAAAACCTTCAGTAGAGCAGTTTCAGTGCTATGGAGAGATTTGAAGCCAGATTGGAATAACTCAAGGATAGCGTGATCCCCCAAAAACTGTTTCAACTGAGACTCCACAATTTTTTCCAGTAGTTTAGAGGTGAATGGGAGTCTGGAGACAGGCCGGAAGTTGGACATGACTGAGGGGTCAAGGTTAGGTTTTTTCAGGAGGGGCTGGACAGCAGCATGTTTAAAAGTCTTTGGCACCACACCTGAGGATAAACTGCTATTCAGAATAGTGAGGATAGAAGGACCCAGGGTAGGAAAAACTTCCTTTAGCAGTCGAGGGGGGACCACATCAAAGGGGGAACCAGATGGCTTCATGCTGCACATTACCTGCTCCAGAGAGGACAGAGAGATGGGCTCAAAGTGGTCAAACACAGCCACACACTGAGATGGGATGGACAGATCATGAGCTGGTGGAGAAATGAGTGCCCGGGTGTTTGCCACTTTTTCTAAAAAGAAATGGAGGAAGTTTTCACACAGCTCAGTTGAGGCTTCCAGAGGTGAAGGCTCACTGAGGTGTAGAACTGAGTTCAGGGCGGAGAAAAGAACTCGGGGGTTGTGGGAGTTGGAGACAATTAAATCAGAAAAGAATTTACATTTGGCAGCTTTAACGGTTTTCTGATAGTGACGCCAACTCTCCCATAACATTTGAAAAGACACCTGGAGCCTGTCCTTCCTCCACCTTCGTTCAGCTCTGCGACACTGCCGCCTAACGGCTCGAGTGACGTCATTCAGCCAACAAATATATGCATGTATGTCCAAAAAGGCAACTTGAGGTAAGTTTTATTAATGTTGGATAAGTTTTAAAGTTAGAATTAAATTCTGCTAACACAAAACATGTTTCTTTTTATTCCTAGCTTTAAAGTGGATATTAAAGTGATTAAGTGATTGTTTAAAGTTATTTTATATTTTATAAATAAGGAGCAGATATAAGATTTTTCTTCTTTCTGCACTCTTCATTCAATGTTTTCTTTTTGATGAATTTGTTTTGTTTCATTTAAATGAATGAATAAAAGAATTAAATAAAATGTTAAATGGCTTCAAACATCTGCTAAGTTCATGACATAAACCAACAGACATGTTCCTGTTTTTAGTATTTTACATCACTTTATAATGTAGCTGTTTGTTTTTAATATAATTTTCAAATCATATGTTTTTTATTGTTTACTGTTGTATTGATAAATATCTCCTGGAGGGTAAACTATATCTTGGCTGCAAGTATCAAACTGTGAAATCCTTCGTTTTCTACAACTGATAGTGGTTGGTCATTAATTATGATGAAGTTTAGCAACTTCTCTGTAAACATTTGAGCTCCGTGGTTTCAGCGACGTCTTCTTCTTGTTCAATCCGAAGCAGGCAGCCTGATTTGGGTCAGCAGAGCTCAGTCAGTTCCTCCTCAGAGACGGCAGACTGAGCGGGGCAGATTGGACGTGGCTGGCCGGGGTCGAGTCGCCTGTTTTGTGTTGAGCAAAGAGCAGCGCCCCGCTGAAGCCATGGAGCTCAAATGTCCAACGTAAAACTAACTTTACCACGGTTTAATGTGGCGCTGTGGCTCTGCAGACAGTGCACGTTGCTGTCTTGTTTTGTGGTGTTTAGTGTAAAATACTTCCACACAGCGACATGTTTAGATGAAAAGTTTGTTAGCTGTTAGCCACAGTGCTGCTAACTCAGTCCTCACATTGTAGCTGCTGCAAACTATGAACTGGATTTCCTGAATGTGAGACGGGTCTTATTACTCTGGGTTCATGAAACACGCCTCCGTTCAGGAAATCCATTCTATAGTTTGAAGCCAACATGTATCATGGATCGGAAAAATCAGATACGTAAATTATGCTGGTATCGGAGGACGATAACCAATACCGGATCGGATCGGCCCCATCCCTACTTTTCTTCCATGATGAATAGAAAGTGAAGTTTGACTCTGAGCGAGCTGAGCAGAAGCATTATTAAAAAGAGAAACTCATTTCTCTTCACTTGTTTCTTCTGTCTGGGTTCCCCTGCTGTGCTGCTGTGCAGGCTGTTGGTCTAACACAAACACGAGTGTGATGCGAAACTTCAAACATCTCAACATTCCTTTGCCTGCATCCTTTTTTATTAACAAATGACTGAACAAATGGTTTAGATCTTTGTGTGAATATGTTGTGCACATGCTGCCGGACATAAACCTTCAAAATGGCCACCGTCAGCAGTAACACGGTCTCTTTATGTTTAGGTATCTGTCTTGGGCTTTGGACACCAATCAAGAAGAGAGGGACAAAGGCAAGACGGTGGAAGTGGGCCGAGCATACTTTGAGACGGACAAAAAGCACTTTACAATCTTAGATGCTCCGGGCCACAAAAGCTTTGTTCCTAACATGATTGGAGGAGCGTCACAAGCAGACCTGGCTGTCCTGGTGAGTAACCAACATCTCCTCGCTGTACCTCCGTCTGTTCAAACCTGTTACACTCAATATTGAACATGTTTCAGCTGAAAATAAAAGTTATGTGATGACAGTTTTAATGACAACCCTATTTTTGAAAACAATGTAAAAATGTAAGAAATAATTTTTATTTTAATGGGGACAGGGTACGGTCACAACTGTATACAGTAGTTTTTCCCTCATTTGATTTTTATTTCTGTGCAATCAGAACAGGTTTGTATTTAATGTCACTTGACTCAAGGATATTTACCTTATTTTTCACCCTGTAAGTCGCAGTTTTCTTGCATAATTTACATGCCCTACGACTTGTAGGCCGAAGTGACATGATTTTGGATTTTTCCCATATTTTAAACCAATTTTTGGCTGAGATAAGACCATTTTCATTCATTCTGACTGAAAATATTGAACACTACCATTTTCGGCTGCTAGATGGCACTCGAGTAGTATGGCATGCCGTTGTGTCATGTAAAAGGTAAAAGTGACTATTAATGACACAATCAGCTTGCCGTAGATTGCCACCTTCGTTCTGCTCTCTTGGAGCAACCGTCAAATCAGCTTCATTTCGTTGCCCCGGCTAAATGCAGCTAATCTGACCACTGAAGTGCATTTATTAAGTAAAAGTTCAACTGAGACACACCTTCACTATAAAGTCGAGCAAACAAATTTTTAGGTGCTTGTTAAATTTCGAAGAAATGCACAGCGTTCCTCCTTCCTGATCTCCTTCCTGTCTGCGTGCTCCCGGAGCACCGAGGCAGCAAATACTTTTGAAATACAACTGATTTGACCATTAAAGTCCTTTTATTAAGTAAAAGTTCAACTGAGACACACCTTCACTATAATTTAGAGTAAACTAATAGATGTTTTAGGTGTTTATCTTGTTAAATTTCCAAGAAATGCACAGCGACTCGTCCCTCTGCGTGTGCCCGCTTCCACAAATTGGGTTTTGAAATGCAGCTGATTTGACAAAGTGCATTTATTAAGCAAAAGTTAGACAAATAATTTATTTTAAGTGCTAATCTTGTTAAATTCTTGTTAAAGTCCTCCCGTGCACGCTCCCGCAGCTGCCATTTGGCAGCTCATTGATTTTTGGCACAACACCAGACCACATTTTCGGATTGTCAGCGGTGATGTGTAATAAATGCGACACGTCAGTGGTGACACATAATAGATGCAACGTATGCAGCGAAGCTACGTATTTATGAATTTTTCCACTTCATTAGACATATTTGGACTGATGTGACTTATAGGGCGGTGCGACGCGTACGGCGCAAAATACGGTAATTTATTTTAAATAATGTCCTGTTTGTGCTGGTCTACATCAGAAACACTGTTTTTCCCTTTAGGTGATCTCTGCCAGGAAAGGAGAGTTTGAAACTGGTTTTGAGAAAGGTGGACAAACGAGGGAGCATGCTATGCTGGCCAAAACAGCCGGGGTCAAGCACCTCATTGTTCTGGTGAACAAAATGGATGATCCCACCGTCAACTGGAGCCTGGAGCGGTAGGTAGAAGGACAATGTCAGGCAGTCCAGAACCTGGAAATTAAAGAAGCCCTCAACCTACTGAGGTTGAAGGCTTCTTTAATTGCCTCTGTCATTTGGGCAGTCAGAGCCCAGATGGCACCAAACAGATGCAACAAAAATACGACTGATTCAATAGTCAGGCCAGATGTTGACAGAGGATTCACTCATACAACCAGATCATTTCTCGTGTTGTCTTCGCACATCAACTCCATCATCTGACGCTGCTCTGACATGACTTCTAAACACGGATGTTTGTGTTGGATAGAAATATCCTCTATTCGTTTTACTTACTCAGAGAAGCCACACTCGAGGACGCGAGAAGATTTTTAACCTATTTTACTTGCAAGGGCAGACGTTCACCACAGGTTACACAGATGTAGAGAAGTTACACGCATAGAGCCCGGTCATGAGAATCTGCCACAGGCAACGTGCATGAATTGTTTTTATAAACTTATCAGCTCCCGGCTCACAGGCAGACACTGATGACCTCAGCCACCCAGATGCACAGTCAAGGTCAAATCAGCTCCTCATTCAGCCCCCCTCTGAGACAGAAAAGAACTCTCTGGTAACTCAAACTCATGGTTCGTGGGCAGTTAGGCATCGACTGGCCCCAAAGGGAAAAACATTGTCAAAGTAGGCGACAAATTCACCGCCTACTGCCTGTTATTGATAAGGCAGGGGTGGGAGGCAGTTCACATCATCATGCCTCTTTTATGATTGTCTATTGTTGTCGTTGTTATCCTCTGTTGTCATCACTCTTTGTTAAAATCAGGTCTCTTTTGTAAATGAGTCCTCCACGCTCAATGGGATTAACCTGTCTAAATAAAGGTTGAATAGTTAACATTCTCAGCCAACAGGTCAAGTTCCATTTTAACATAAGACCCCTTGTTTGATAGCAGCTTCACAATTCTTGTATTCATTGAAGTTGTTGATTTTCTGCTGGAATTTCTTTGCTGGATGGCCAAGTAGCTTTCCAAAGCTGCTGTTTGGATGTGAACTGCCTCCCACCCCTGCCTTGTCAATAACAGGCAGTAGGCGGTGAATTCGTCGCCTACTCTGTCATTTTTTTTACTTTAGGGCCAATCGACGTGCTGGAGCGTGATAGTCACATGACCGATTTCAGTCGTTCTAACGGGAAAGACACCGCTCTCGGCAACTTTAATTTGTCATAAATACAGACTTTAATCTACACACCAGTTTCTAAATCATGTTGTGATAAATACTCCACACCACATCTTTAATGAAAATCATCATCCTATCTGAAGTGTGTTAGAGTGAGAGGCTGCAGCAAGGACGGGCAGTCTCGGGGACAAAACACCCCATCGCCCTCCACTTTCACCTCCCACCCCCGCCGAATAGATAAACACCTTCCCCCTCCTTTCTCATGGAAAATCTAGGTTATTTGTCAAGCTCCAAAAAATCTACAGAAAGAAGAAGAAAAAGATGCAGAAGCTGAATGGAGTTCATCTCGATAAAGTCACAGTGAGAGCGGGAGTGAGTCATGAGGTTTGAGAGATTTGTGATATTTAGTTTGGGTTTTATAGTTAGGGTCCAGTTTAGTGTTTTTGAGTCAAAACAATTGGACAATTTTTGAATGTGAAGAGGACGGAGCTGCAGATCCAGAGGAGGACGGAGCTGCAGATCCAGA